TACTGTTCCCTAACTCTGTCTTTGATACAACTGCTCTGTAACTGTTTTTTCTCCTTCTGTCTGCCTGGTCTCCACTCTGAGGTTCTCTAACCAGCTACTAGTCAGTGATCAAAATCCCAGCACAGTAAAGTTTTCTTTATTTATTGTTCAGTAGTATATATAGCTTCGTTTCTTTTTATCTGGGTGGACTGCTTGTCCTCAGTTTAATTATTTATTTTCCCTGATTGAAAGATTCATTCTTAAATTCTATATTCAAGTATCTCCCATCGTCCAATATGTAACATGTAAACTACCCAACCTGTAGACCCATAGAAATACCACAAAAAGTAAAATTAGAAAAAAAGTGTTAAATTTGCTGTTACTCAAATGACGAAAATATGCATTTCCTTTTAGGTGTTTGACTTCAAAGCAAAAGCAATTCACATCTATGATTCCCTTTCACTATACTGCATTATCAGTGATGAAGACATGAATCTACTGAGGTATTTACAAAACAAAAATAATATGTCACCTTTTAAATTTTGATACTACAGTAATACTATAACATAAGGCTTGAACTATCTTTTGCAGGAATGTCTTCAGGTCTTCCGGTGGGCTTGACGGCTGGACTGTGGTATATCCTCCACAGTGGAAGCAGCAAGACTCTGTGAACTGTGGCGTACTTGTGTGCTCAGTGAGTGTCTGTGATCCTAACTGGTTTTACAACTGTTTGTCTTTAATTTGATGTTTCAACCATATTCCATATATTTTCTCTAACAAGGCTGTTGAAAATGTAGTTAAACAGCGTGAATCCATGACAGAAGCATTGACAGTGAACCAATGCAGGACTCTTCGTCTGCACCATGCCACCCAAATGCTAGAAAACGTTAATCCTGAGGTTAGCTGTCTTCACCTGGTAGAATATGGTAATGTAGATTACTTTTATAAGAATTCAGTGCTGCATTGTTTGATATTTTTTATTAATACAGGATTTCCCACCAACTATGCAAGAAATGTTGGCTATAAAACAAAAGGAAGTTAAGCTTCAAGGAACAGAAATAAAAGACACTGACTCCAGCATCCATTGCCTGTCCTGGAGAATTAGGACATGCCTGTTTCAAAGGGCAACTGGAAAGAACAGGTATGTTACCATCTCATATCTACTTAATTGTTGAATGTCAAAGGTTGTTATTTTTTTATCATGTAAAATTGAACAGTGTCACTTTTATTCTGACATGTATAAAAATGTACTTTCCACAGTGTTTTCCATGAGCACATTAAAAAATACAAGTGGGTGCAATGCACTGCTTGTAAAAGCTGGTTGCATTTTGAGTGTGCTGGTGTTACCGGAGACTGGGCTTCCAAGGACTTCTTCTGTGGATGCAGTATACATGTTGATGTGTAAGACAAGCAGCATCCCTTTTAGAACAACAGCTCAGTCTATACTCAAATTAGTTTCAAGCTACACACCGTTACTTCAAAACAACACGTACTTTGTTATATGTAGCATCAAAGAGAAATATCTCACACTGTCAAGAATGCAAAATTTGTTGGTCATTTGAAATGACTTCAAATTGTAAGACACATTAAATTATGTAGTCATTGCAGTGCTCCTTGTATTATTCAATGAGGAAAAAGAGTAAATCATTGCCCTTCAAAATCATTTGTGGATTTGGAAAACTGAGAAAACTAAAGATTGGTATTTAAAAGTAATTTGTCCTTCACAGGAAAAAGATTATGGAAGGAGTCTATGCAGATGACATTCTGACAGATTCAGAGATTAAGGTAAGGACGTATATTTATCATCGTCTTTAGAGTAGCTCCAAAGTAGCAGTCTTATAAAAAGTCAAAACGTAAATGTCTTCATATGCATACTACATTACAGGACTTGGAAAGAAACCTGCAGACCGGCCACATCCTTTCGAACAGAATGTATCTGTGGAAGCACAAAGGATTTGACCCAAGTCTCAGAAAACACTACAGTGAGCATGTAACCGTATTTGATGACATGACGGTATGTGGAATGTTATTTCACCTACTTTTCTTTCAATACACCATCTCTTGTGTCATCATAGCCTTAACTGTATGACAATGCTAAACAAGTTTTTCCAAAATATGTTTAGCAGTGCAACAGCTATAAGTATTGTGTTCTCCAAGAAATGAATATGAGCAAAATATTTACGTTATTACCATTTACTTTACCGATGGTGTTAGTTTATCTCTATGCATTGCTGGTTATATCTTTTCAGCCTGTTTTGTATAGGGTAGGAAATACACAGAGCCTTTCTGTTCTTCTGTATCTGACCTTTCATCAAAGCAAACTTGCACCAACACCCGATAACCAATGTAGATGAGAGGGTGTAGATAGTATGTTTGTTGCGTGAATGTACGGCAAGTTTTAATGTAATTTAACATCAAATTGGTCTTTTTTTTATGCAATTCCTTTTTTTAACATGACATTTCAAAACATGTTCTTATAAAAGCAGCCTTCCCTGGGACTACAGGCTGAAATTAGTTCTTGACCTATAAACCGGTACAATGCATATTTCCCTTTGAGGTTAATGTATTTTTTAAAACACCGTCCCTCTTACTCTCTAAATATGTACAGTAAATCCAAATACAAATTTATACAATATTACTAAAAGAAGAATTACTAAACAGAGATTTATTCTTCAGGATAAGGTGTAAATTGGCCATGGTAAAATTTATAAATAATGTGTTATTGACAAGAACGTACATTGGAAGTTATACAGAACTAAAGAATTTAATGACTTTGTCTCCAACCTCCCAATTAATTGTATATTTTTATTGATCATTTATTATATTTATTACTTCCTGTTCCAGACTGAAACAATCATCCAGCGTTTGGAAAGAGTCCTGTCACGTTCAGGAAATACATCTGTGGATCCTCATTTCATAACAGATGTTATTCTGCCCGAGGTATGTTTATATGACACTTATAAATACGCAAAAAACACAACTTACTAGTATTTGTAATGTTTTGTAACACAAGCAGGAAGAAGTTGGATGCTAAAATTACATTCTCACCAACAGAAAATAGTGCCTTCACAATAATAATGTGGCCAAACATCTGCATAATGTAGATTCTAACTTTTTCCAAATTAATTTGATTTAAAATTGTTTTATAGGCTCTGATTCAGTGGTTGCAGACTACAAATGTCATCTGCCGTTTTCAAGCAGAAGACTTGCTTATGAAGACCAAGCCATTCATTGACAATGAAGGGTATAGTAACATTTGGGTGCTGACTCCTGTTAGGAGCATGTATAATAAGCTGTAATTTTGAAACGCTATGATTTCTCTGACCTCACAGAAAAGCAGAACTGGTCATTAATGATGACACTCCAAAGGTAAAGCACACATAACAAGCATAGTATATAGTATATATGTATATATTTACAGTGAGGGCGGAGGGTGTTTGATGTCCCGGGAATTTTGCAAGTTCTACTTAGAAATCAAAGAGGGGTTTTCAGCATACATGCATAAACATTGCATGTATATATATATATATATATATATATATATATATATATATATATATATATGTGTGTGTGTGTGTGTGTGTCTGTCATTTTCACAGGAAAGCAGTATTTTGGCAGACACGCTGGCAGCAGCTGAGTGGGTAAAGGGAACACTGTTCGAGGGAATGGTTAAAGTGCCATCCGTTCTGTCCATGGATGAGGAAGAACAGCAGGAAGTCCTTGAGGCAGTTCGAAGCTGGAACGAGGACCATGATTATGACTCTCCAGCAGAACATTTGACTTTTGCTTTTGAAAATAAAAAAGACTATGACAAGTTCTGTTCCTTTATCATAGATGAGAAGAACCTCAAAGTTTTCTCCAGATTTGAGGTACAAGACTAAACAGCATAGGTCTTGGTTTTAATAAAGTTTTATTGTGTTCTAAGTCTTCTTTGTTGGAGTCCCTTCACATTACAGAGAGTGATAAATCCATATGCACAGTACAAAACTTTATTGTTGTAAAACCACAATATCTATTAACAATAAAATACATCCCCAAATCCGTTGTAGTGACAAACAGCCTTTTCACTCCCAAGTTGTTTAAATTGTACTGCAATACCATGTTAAGCCGGCAGATGGCGGTATCTGCCCTGATTGCAATGACAATATTGAGAAAACTAACAGTTTATCTCTTTTTATTCCACAATCCACATTGGTAGCAGTTGTCATAAATTATTTCAGAAATTGAGAACTGCTCTCCATCTGCCTCTGGTGCTCCCCTGCTTTTCCTGACTCCGTACCGGAGGCCGGTGACCCACCGCCGGTCTTCAACCCGGAAGTGTCTGTGGATCTTCCACTAGAGTACCGTCACGGATTCGTCTGGGGGAGCAATAAAAATGATGGAAAAAAATAAATGCATTAACGCTTCTGATTGCATTACACTGCATATGCATGGAGTGACTGGGAAGTGCATTTGTAAACCGCTTGAAATATTTCAAATATTTTCGGTGACAGCCTTGTTTGTTTTGATTTTGTTAAAGTAAAAATTAAAAACGTTGGCATGATGATGCCGATGATGCAATAAGTGCTGCAATTACTGAGGTCACTACAGCTGTCTCTCCTCTCCTACAGCCGCAGGTACCGTGGCAGCAGTGGTAGGAGGCGTGGCTAGTGCCACTAAAAGTCGTGGTAGGGGGCGTGGCTAGTGCCACTAAAAGTCGGAAGTGTAATGGCAGCAGTGGTGGGGGGCGTGGCTAGTGCAACTAAAAGCCGTAGTAGGGGGCGTGGCTAGTGCCACTAAAAGTCAAGAGCAGCAGTGGTAGGGGGCGTGGCTAGTGCCACTAAAATCCGTGGTAGTGGGCGTGGCTAGTGCCACTAAAAGTCGTGGCACCACCCGGAAGTGTAATGGCAGCAGTGGTAGGGGGCGTGGCTAGTGCCACTAAAAGCCGTGGCACCACCCGGAAGTATCAGAGCTGCCACTGCAAGTGCCACTCGTGCTGCCGCTGCCACAAATTGCGCTCGGTCCTGCTGCAGCTTGTTGTTGTTCTGGTGTGTGAGGAGAATATTTGAGGCTCTGCAGTAAAAATGTCTTCACTTCAGTCTCTGGGAGAGTTGATCAGCTAAAGCGACTAACTGCTGCTGCTGCAGAAATCTTCTCACCAGGCTGTGGAAACTTTCTTCTCCTCCTCAACAACTTGGTGGAGTTCTTTCCAGAACCAGAGAAGATATTCTGCGGTCTTCGTGACAATCGGAGCTCCAGAATCAGGTTGTGGGTCAGAAAAGCTTTTCTCTAGACTTCCTGCCCTCTGGATCTGCTGCTGTTCCTTTGGCCAGAACCAAAGCGTTGGATCTTTAATCCCCTGCGTTGTTCTGAAGCAGCATCTTAATCAGCTCTCCTGCTTTATTTCTATTGCAGCTGTTAGCTAAACACGGCTAAAGAAACCCTGCTACCACTTCAGGATCATCCATCAGCTGGGACTGATTCATCGTGTGTTCTTCACCACCTGGACCTGCACAGCATGGACACAGGTAGGGCTGCCACCTTTCAGATATGTAAATAAGCCTTAAACAAGGTTATCTTTACTTTATCAGAACAAGACCAAAACTTGGGAGCGAGTGTATTTCTCTGAGCGTATAACATACAGCACTGCCTGTACATGACATCATCTCTCATGTCCTCAGTGATGATATGACCAAGATGTTTAACATTCTTGGTGACACTAATCACAGAGTCTGACAGATAAAGCTCTGGAAACCATGCTTTCGTTCTTTTTTTAAACACAGAAACAGTTTTGTTTACCTGTTTGTAGCTACAGTTTCGCCGACGGCTGCCGGCTTCTTCAGGCTGATGCTGATGGTGGCGCGTCACTTCCTTCTCCGTTTATCTGTAGCTACAAACAGGTAAACAAATCTGTTTCTGTGTTTAAAAAAAGAACGAAAGCATGGATTTAGAAAGACACCGCAAGAACACACCTAAGATGTTCAAAGCTCTGGAAACTTCATTTGCTCGTTCTCCTCGGCCCGGCGAATCATAACCACACTTTTAGCTGCATCTCAACTAACAGGGAACGTTCCCATAACTTTCGCTAACATTCTTTAAAAGTTTTTTTTAATGTTAGTACATAAAGTTGTTAAAGTAATTTTTTCAAAATGTTCTTTGAACGTTATTAATGTTGCTGTAACGTTGATAGAAAATATTCTTAGAAGATTGTTATAAGAACGTTGTAACAACATTATTTATGCATGATGAAAGTTCTCATAACGGTGATAGAAAACGTTTTTATAACAAAGTTTTTTGATCATGTTTTTGTGATTGATTAAAGTTCTCATAATGCTGATAGTAGGGCTGCAACTAACGATTATTTTCATAATCGATTAATCTGTCGATTATTTTTTCGATTAATCGGTTTGTTATTGTTTAGCTATTTAACCTATACAAGTGATGAATACATTTCAGTTAAGAAAAAGAAAAACATAAGAGAATTTTGCAGTTGACTGCAATCTATTTTATTGCACATAAACACAGTCAGCGGTGTAAAATAAGCTAAACAGTGCAAAATATCAGTCCAGAATAATTTTTTGACATCAAAATATAAGAGGTAAATTCCATAAAAAATAATGTAGAATCTAGAATAGAGTTTGTAAGTGGTATGCATTGCTGGGGGGTGAGTGTCTTGTTCCCCATGTAGTTGTCCATCGTTGCTTGTTTTTTCTGCATAAGAAACACAAATTGACTGACATAAGTACACATATAAAATAAGGCAGCACACACACTACAACACTAAATCAATATTATATTATTTGAATTAATTAACAATATACAGTGATCATTTATTTTGATAAAAATGTGTTGTGAGGTGTTTTACGGTGTTAGATAGTAAAACAGCCTTTTAATAGTAAAAAAAAATGACTTTTTCTGAATTTCTCCTGTATTAAAAAATTGAAAGCGTACAACTATGCTGCGTTATATTCACCTGGACACAGCTTGTCTGTATATTTTTCACCGCGGAGTTGTCCTTTTTGAATGAGGAACATAGTTATGGGTTTGTGCCGATTTTCTCTTAACGAGAACATTCTTATAAACAGACGTGCTAAATTTGGCAAGCGCATGATACACAACACGGAGATTCACGATTGCATCTAGTCAATCAGAAGTAGAACACCGTAGACTGACGCAGCAAAAAAGAAAAAAAAAACATGTTTAACATTCACTATAACGAACTCAGCTAAAACACTAAGTCCCATATTTGATCTGCATGTAGTGATGGACCACTATATTTAGCTTATTTTCTGTTACTTACCGGGCTGGCTCTTCCTCTGCTGCATCAGCCCCCACATGTTTTCGTCTCAAATGTTCACTTAGGGACGTCGTGCTTCCGTGCCATGCTAGATGGTTTTTGCATATTTTGCAGGTCAACCGTCTTTTCTTGGCAGAAGTGCTAGAGTGAAGTGCTCCCATACTCGTGAGGTTTTTGTCCGGGGTTTCTCTTCAGTTTTGTCGCTTCTATTTTTCTTCCGTATTTCTTGTTCCGCCATCTCACAGCAAGATGAGCGTCAGTAACGTGTTACGTCATGAAAACCGAGGGCACTTATTGGCTTGTTTCTTCTTCTACTGCTCCACTGGTAGATCAGTGGCTCATTACTGCCACACACTGGCGGCAAATTTAACAGATTGTAACCGATGTCAGATTGTGGTAAAAACAGACTTTATGCGATAAAATGTGATTATTAAACAACTAATCGATGACTAAAAAAGTTGTTAACTATTTTAATAATCGATTATAATCGATTAAATCGATTAGTTGTTTCAGCTCTAGCTTATAGATTACATTCCTAGAACCATGTTCTTGTAACGTCTTTACAACGTTATTTATGGTTGATGAAAGTTCTAATAATGCGTTTTAGACAAGAACCACATTATTGGAACGTCTTAACAACATTATTCGTGATTGACTAAAGTTCTCATAATGTTGTTTGAAAGCATTCGTGGGATCACATTCTCAGAACGTGTTCACAACATTATCTGAGCTTGACGAAAGTTCTCATAACGTTGTTAAGGAACATTTTTAGAACCACATTCTCGGAACATGGTAACATTATTTATGGTTTATTAAAGTTCTCTTAATGTTGTCAAAAACATTCTTAGAACCATGTTTTTATAATGTCTTTACAATGTTTTCTTTGATTGCTGAATGTTCTCATAATGTTGTTGGAAAACATTCTTAGAACCACGTTCTTATAATGTCTTTACAACGTTATTTATTATCGATGAAAGTTCTACTAATGTTTGTTAGAAAACAGTCTTAGAACCACATTATTGGAACGTCTTAACAAGGTTATTTGTGATTGACTAAAATTTTCATTATGTTGTTTGCTAACATTCGTAGAAACACATTCTTGGAACGTGTTCACAACATTATCTGGGCTTGATGAAAGTTATCATAAAGTTGTTAATGAACATTTTTAGAACCACATTCATGGAACATGGTAACAACGTTATTTATGGTTGATTAAAATTATCTTAATTTTGTTAGAAAACATTCCTAGAATCACATTTTTATAACGTCTTTACAACGTCATCTGTGATTGAAGTTCTCATAACGTTGTTAAAATACACTCTTGGAAACACGTTCTTTTAACGTCTTCACAACGTTATTCATAATTGATTAAAGTTCTCACTATGTTGTTGGAAAGCATTCTTAGAACCACATTCATATAATGTCTTCACAACATTATTTATGATTGATGAAAGTTCTAATAATGTTTGTTAGAAAACAGTCTTAGAACCACATTATTGGAACGTCTTAACAACGTTATTCGTGATTGAAGTTCTCATAATGTTGTTTGAAATCATTCGTGGGATCACATTTTCGGAACATTTTCACAACATTATCTGGGAATGATGAAAGTTCTCATTACGTTGTTAATGAACATTTTTAGAAACACGTTCTCGGAACATGGTAACAACGTTATTTATGGTTGATTAAAGTTCTCTTAATGTTGTTAGAAAACATTCTTAGAGCCACATTCTTGTAATGTCTTCACAATGTTATTTATGATTGACTACAGTTCTCATAACGCTATTAGATAACATTCTTGGAGCCACATTCTACTGACGTCTGTACAACGTTGATGGTTGACCCTTGTGACTTTTGACAGTTCCCAAGATGCTGAGACAGTGAATTTTGTACAGTTCATGGCATTCTCGGTCGGGTCATACCAAAGACTTTAAAAATGGGTCCCAATGCCTCCCTGCTTGACACTCAGCTTTAAGGGGTTGGATTGGGATAAAAAAATAGTTCCCGAGCCCAGCCACTGCTGCATCTCACCACTCCCCTCCAATGAGATCACCAGTATGTGATGATGACTATGGTACTTTCTCCATTTTCTTCTTCTTTTTTAATGCATTGCATCACCACCTGGTATCAGAACAGGACTCAGTATTGGAAGATAATCAAAAATCAAACAACTTGGATTCAGATCAGGGGCAAAAATGTGGTTGTAACGTAAGTCAGCTTTAAAACTAAAACAACTGTTTACCTTAACTAATGACATATTTTCCTAGTTTACATTATGTTGTTTGAAACCAAGGGTCTCATTATCTGAACTTTTTAACTTGTTGGATCGTGAATCTGTTTAAAAGTTTTGCTCTATATGTGGCAAACTACCCACACAAACACAGCTCGAAGGAGCTCAGAACAGGAGAGGTTGCTCACTGCAGAACTACAAAGGCGGAGCTGCACCAGAGTCAGCCCCGCCCATTCACGCAAACTCTGCCTAGCCCACTGACTTCTTCTGTTTTTGTTTGTGTAACCTGACCCACATGAATTACGGCTGTTACTAGTTTACAACTGTTAATGCTATGTTCTATGCTCCAATAAAACAAGAATAATATAACTTGCTACATGACAACGCCTGAATATATCCCGAAATGAAAAGGTTTCTTTTAACAAATATCTGCCCACAGCCGCGCCAACAAAACTGGCGTACAACAGCATTTAAGGCTATTGAATAGGTTCTGGTAGTGCTTACAAGTTTTGCTTTCCCCTCTGCTGATGCAGGTTCGACTCTCGGTGGGGTGGGCAGCAATCTATTTATCCAGCTGAAACATTTCATTTGTTTATATTTTAGTTGTAATGTTTATTTTCTGCAAAATATTTATGTCTCTAAAAGTTCTTTGAATTTGGTCGTTCCTTAACAGCATTTTAGTTGAAACTCTGCTCACAAATGGACTCACACTGGCGAAATAAACAAATAAATAAAAAAATAAACACATTAGTCATTATATTTTAAACAGTATACCAATTAATGGTTGTAAACATAGTACTGACAAGTGTAGCTAGAAAATAAGAAAAAGGGTTATAAGCTACCTCTAAACTTCCGCTACTGGGAGGTGAACCTGCGCAAAACTACATGCCAATCTGACTCCATAACCACTTCACCACTACATCTGATAACAAGCAAGTGGCGTTACATGTAATTGCGCCATCCAGTGTGTCTTTGTAGATGGGATGCATGGTTTTTCTAGCAGTGTCTCAGCAGAAGTCATTTCAGAAATAATTTGTCAGAAAATTCACAGAATATCCAGATTTGAGAACCAAGACCAGACCCGCTTCAGGGGAGGAGACCAAATTGAAGCTGAGATGGGAGGAAAATGCGTGAATGAGGCCAAAAATGGCTTTGGCGTGTTTCTTATGAGGAAATGACAATATAACATGGTAAAAAGTTCCAAAATTTAGATTTTTAATTATATGGAACCTTTACAAAAACTGTTCAACTAACCTCTCAACTCCATCCTCAATCTTGCATTTTAGATGATATTAGCTATAACACCCTCTATGGGCGGGGCTGACTCTGGTGCAGCTCCGCCTTTGTGGTTCTGCAGAGAGCACTACTTGCAGAACTGTCAAAGAGAAACTATGATATAGTTTAGCTGTCAGCCTGTAGAAGTTCCTGCTGAACTTTATTCTGTTTCATGAACCAGGGTGACCTGGGTTTACGTTAAATTCAACTTTAAAACAGGGAGAAAACTTTAGTCTACCTTTGAGTTGGATGTTTTCTTCTTGTTTGCTTGTTTCTCCTCAGAGACACGATGGATATAAGGAGATGACAAAAGTCAAAATGTCCCCAAAGGGAAGGGTCAGTTAGCTGGTTAGTGAAGGGGAGCTAGCTTAGCCTGGCCTGCCAGACTCCTCCTCTGTTTAATTCTATACAGAGAAAGGCTCTGGGAACTCTCTTATTCAAATAACCCCACCCACTGACAATTCTAACCGAGCCAATCAGCACTGAGCAGCGTTCGTCACACACCATAACGCCGAGTTTGTCATAAACATGGCGACTGAGGCGGAGTTCGCTGCGGCCCTTTCCTCTCTTATAAATGACTTGGACACGTTTTTAAAACAAGTAGAAGCGCTAAAAACATTTCTAAAAAAAAAGATGTTTGTGCCATTGCCAGACGCCATTTTTGACTACAGCTAAAAAACTACAGCGTTGCGTGGTACAGTCGGCATTTCTGTCTTTTTTCTGATTGGTTATTTTTGAGGTGGCTAGTCCCGCCCCTCATGTGCCTCTCTGCCTGTCAGTTACCAGACTCTTTCTCTGTGCAGAATTAGAGGACGATTCTGGCAGGCCAGGCTAGAGATAGCTGTCATTAAAGACCTGATCCAGCCCATTGCCTCCTGCTGTTGTTAGCGTTGGGTACAAAATTCGGTACTTTTTAAGGTACCGACCGAATTCCATAGAACCGACTGAGCACCGATTCACGTCATTTGAAACGGTGCCTCGTTTCGGTACCCGTCCTTCATAACGAGAACTTACCTAGACAGCTGCGCATGCGCAAGAGCGTTATGTTGTCGGTCGCTGCGAGTCAGTTGTAAAAAGAGCAGCATGGTAGAAAGAACGCACGCTAAAGCTTGGGTCCACTTCACTAAATGTGATGGGTAACTGGGTGATGATGAAACCAGCGACAACGATCTAAGTGAAACATCCTCATCTTAATCTGCTCCGGTAGGTAAATAAAATGTTTAAGATAATGTTAGCTTGATATGCTAGCTTCCCTTCCGCTAATGGTGCGTTCGCTTTCTCCTCGGAACTCAGAATTTCCAACTAGAAGAACCTGAACGCGCTCTAAAGTTTGGTTTCACTTTAGGGCTGCAACAACGAATCGATAAATTCGATGAAAATCGATAACTAAAAGCGTTGGCAACGAATTGCGTCATCGATTCGTTGTGTTGCGCAACTCTTCCAAAAGCCCCCCACCCACCCCCACCCCCCCCGGCCACCGTTACGCACAGACCGGAAGCAAGTCAGATCAGCGCGAGGGAGAGCCGGGTGAAGCAGCAAGACCCAAAAAAGTAAAAACTTCTAAAGTTTGGGAGCATTTTCAGTTAAATCAGGCGAAGACATTCGTTACCTGCAACGTTTGTAGGTCAGACTTGGCATGGCACGGGAGTACTACGGTGATGATGCAGCATCTTAAAAGCAAGCATGCCGAATCAGCGAGGAGGGAGAGAGCTCTGTGTCCGGGTAGGTTAAAAACTTTTCAAAAGTGATTCACCCAAGCCCCGGATTATTACACAGGCTAGACATGCAATAAGCTCGTAAAAAAGTCTATAAAATCGTAAGCGCAACGCTATTAGATAGGCGGGGGGGGGGGGGGGGGGGGGGGGGGGGAACTCGCGCTGCTGCGAACCGGTTCCGCCGTCACATTCCCGCAGAAACTGGTTGATTACACCGGGGCCAGACTACTTGCACCACAATTAGAGGAGTGAATCCTCACTTGTCTCCCGATTCGATTACGATGGGTCAACGATTCAATTCGATTCGATATCCCGATGCATCACGATGCATCGCGATTATTTCATATTGATTTGTTTTCTTCGATAAATAGCAGATGTCAGATAATTGCTTCTTTTTTTTTAATCAAAAACGTAATTGATACAACCTGCCAGCCCTCAAAAGCTCTCCATTCACAACAGGTTAGGACAAAACATTTTAAACATTTAAGAAGATTTAACAAAGTAAAACATCTGTTTCCTCATTCAACACCACGCCTCAGGCTGAGAAAAACACGCTTTGCAAAAACTCACAAAATCTAAAAAAGTACTGAAAACCTACAGGACCCAACATAATGTAATAATAAAATACATTGTTACAAGCCATCTTCCCAAGCTAGCTGACTCTTTAATAAACACTACGTCTCAGGGTTGACTTGTACTTCTATTTATGCGTGAGCGTGATTATCCAGTCGACCTGCACACTAATATGAGCTAATCAGCGATCATCTTTAACCTAAATTTAAATCCTGGCACACACACTTCTAGCAGCTCAAAGGAAGACTCTGTTCACACCCAAACACACCTCAGTCACCTGCAGCTTATACTATGCCCAGGTTAAAGACTCTAAGCTAAGTTATTAACCTCTTGGAGTGGGATTAAAAGTAACCAGCACCTCACCTTTCTGCGGTTACGCGACACCAAGGAGACCCCAGGCAGGAGATCCGTTTCAAAGCTCCTTATAAGAAGGAACAAAAGTTTTTATTTTATATGATGAAGTAAAAAAATATTCCAAATTCCCGACGCAGTGGGTCAAAAACACCGAACAGGTACAGACTCTCACTCAGAACTCCCCAAGAACTTCTCCAGCCCCGAACCAACCGGGCCCCCCTCTTTTATTCAACACAACAACTCCCCTTCTCGCCCATCTTCCGTCTCCATGACAACTCCCGCCTCGGAAGCATTCTTCGGCCTTGAGGCTCCTCCCAGCTCCCTTCCTCTTTGTGGGTCATCAGTCAGATGGGGGAGGTCCCCCCCCCCCCCTTTTCCTTCCTCTTCTCCAGCTCAGATCAAAGGAAGTCAACCATAAACAATTTCCAGACATGGGTGTCCCTGAAATTCTTATCACATCCTGGACTACTTCATAAAAGTCAGTAAAAGGCTAAAGCTACAACATATATTTGCCATGAATAGCAGATTAGTGAAACACACTCATTATTTACGACATCAGGAGATCAGGAGTCAAGTCACGCACACACATTTTACACACAGACCTCTTTCTGAACTCTGTAGCCTGGTTACATCAACACACAGATTGAGATGTAATTCAATACTGCTTTTATATGATAAAACAGGTCTGGAGAAATCAAAAATCTTTGTTCAACACCCCCCTTGGAACCAGGCTGAGTTCACCGGCATCATCTGGAACTGTGGAAAATACTGCATATTCAAATTTCCTGGACACAAGCAAACATGCGGATTTATTGCTTTCATCACTGGTGGCACCATGGCCTGGACTTGTAAAGCCGGATTGCACACAGACGGAGCGGTCTGAAGCTGCTGACGCAGATCGAACTCCGGATGGCTCATTTCCTGCATCGGAACGTCCACCTGTGCAGGTGATGGCTGCATTCTGACCACACGCCTTGGTTCTTCGCACTCCTGTACGTAGTCTTTGTAGGGTGTACTAATCCAACACCAATCCACATCGCCTTCCCTGAAATGAGAGAGTAAGCAGGGCATGCGCGTCTGGCCCCGCGACATATCACGTCTGACACAATCATAATGCTTAATCAGAGTCGAGCGTGTAATTCTCTGAAGAATCTTTTCCCTCCTGGTCACTCGAGTTCCTTTATGACTATCACCATCAGAGACTAACACAATACGTTCCCAAACATCTGCATTCCAAAGGCCATTTGGGTTTAGTCTCACGGGTCTATTATCTACCAGCCCGTAAAGGGAAACTTTTGGGTTGCATCACACCAGGCTGACGTCGCCTGTTCACCAGCGGCTTCTGTCCACTGGGTGGCAGCTCCAGCATCTCCTGAGAGTTTGGGTCAGTCGGCAAATCCTCTGACTCATTGACCTATGATAACACACACAGAGACAATGAACAGACCCTGGCTCTGGCTCCATTCATGCACGACCTTCATGACCCCACTAGGGGTCAGCAGTACTCTACCTTCCTCTGTGAACAAGAGGTCAGGTCTTTCTCACAAAATAAAACCAGACACTTCTCATGATCAATTCTGTTAGTACAACACATTCATATAATGATATCAAACATGCCATTAATAGGTATGTAAAAATCCCAGAGACCTCTAATGCAGGCCACAGGTCTTTACTGCTTTCCAGCAGGAATATACAAGTTACAGCATGCAAACTAATAACCACAATATATTAGTGGGCCTTTCCATCCTGATCAGGTAACAGGATGTACCAACATTCTCTCATCATGCATTAAGTAAAAGTTATCACATCAACACTTCAAGAGTCCTCACTTATGCCTCTTGTGCATCTAATATTAGCACGTCCCGCCGGTAAGATTAGCCAGTAGAGACAGTCTCACCGAGGTAAGCAGCACATCCTCATCTGCTTCTCCAAATACCTCACGTGGAGTTCCTGCATGGGCCATTTCACCTCAGAGCTTCTCTTCAAGGAAGATGATACCTGTGTACAGCTCTGTGTCTGAGTGCCTGTCTTCCATGTGGTCTCAGTCTAATTGACTCAGGAGGCTCCTCCTCTTCCTCTCGGGGTAGATTAGCAGATCTCCTGCTGCAGCTGGCAAAACACTTCAAAAGATGCATGAGTTTAACACATACAGATAACATCACCAGCACCCCTCCTACGATCAAGGGGACCTTGGCGTAAAACCATAACTCAGAGATTACCAAGGAAGCAACACTCACTGCCCCTTGAGCGACCACCGTAACAGCCTCCCTGACACCCAGGGTCAATCCTTGGCCTATAATTTTAAAACCCTTTTGGATAAATTGCCAATCAGACATTCTAGCCCTTTCACTTAACCAACATTTCCCTGCTCTATTAGGAAAATGAAAGGAACCAGAACAGTTCCATTCTCTAATGCAAGGAGTCTAAATATCATGCAATCAGAAACCTTGTCAAAACCAGTTATATATTCTCCCCAGACAGTTAGCACCCCAAAATGGTAAATTTTAGTAATACATTCTACAGGTTGCACATCATTTGCGTAGTCCCACACTTTAAGTTTTCCTTCCTCCCATCCTAACAGCCCGTAAGTAGAATTATGGCTGTCGGTGACATTATTGAGCTTTTCTAACCACATCAGCCAGCCGGTAGATGTGAGGGTACAGGCTTCGCCTGGATCAGGGATTGGACAGCCCTGTGTAACAGCCTTACAATATTCCATCCACTGAGTGGCATTAAAGTTCTCCTCATGAGGAGTCAGGCACGACACTCTAGGTAGGTCTAGGGTTCCTGGTCTCTTGTGAACCCACCCTTTAACCACAGCCGTGGTTTTGAGTGTTACAACTCGTGAAACAGGCAGTGAGATAAAAGATATCGCTACCACACAGATTAATAAGCCGATACAACATAAGATACCTCCTCTCCAACTCTCCCAGCAAGTCTTATCAGGAGGTCGTGGGAGGGGTCGATCTACCTCCTCTTCCTCCCACTCTCCGCAGGAGTCCATGAATCTCTGCTGCCTGTAGAGACGAGGAAAATTAGGCAGAGAGCTTCATCACATACATTTTCTTAATTCACCCGTGGCCTTGGCGCAGCCACGGTGTCCTTTTTATACAGCCTGGGGGTCTCCGCGTGCTGATCCCACTCCAAGTTCACTGCTATCAAAACACCCTCACTTTTCTTAAGTGAGTCTCTCTAGACATCCAGCTTCCTCCAGCCTTTCTGTGTTTTAACTAACACTTGCGTCTGACTTCTGGTTATTGACAAGTCATTACATGTTGGTACAGTAGCTGAGGTGTACCAATCCTTATCTGTTGTCTCATGACGGACCTGTCTCCTTTCCCACTCGTCAGTGGTTAGAGGAAACTTGCCTCGCCTGTCTCTCCAACACAGTTGTGGTTCAGTAGCTTCCCACAGCACCTTTCCCCAAGGTGAGAAAGTTCCACTCAAACTCCCTCCCTTTCTAGTACACACTATCTCTTTAAAGCAATTCTCCCAATATGCCTGGGAGCATGTCAAGCCTGACAGGTAACTCATCTCAGGCACCAGCAGCACCACAGGGTAAATTCGCACCCCACATGAACTTGAACAACTGGCGAGTCTTCCTTTGTCCACTCTACAACATTTTCTAGATTCATCAACACTATGATGATCCAAACGACCAATCCTGGTCTTGCCTGCTTTACTCATCCAACAATCTCCGCACCATGCCACTTTTATCACACCATGTAATTCCACAGCATTTGTGGGTGAAGGATTTTTTCTCAGAACTTTGTCTTTAAGAAATCTCGGGCCTTCCCATTTTATCTCAGCAACCTCATTGCCACAGTTTGCGCATGCTCCAGGTCTATAAACTGACCAGCTGAAGCACTCCTCATTACAACTTTGCCCTTGTACTTTACCTAATGTAATTCCCCCTGAACTTGATGCACTCCACAGCCATATTGGAGATGCAATTCCACCTTCATTTAGTGGGACCCATTTCCTTACAGTCTCCAAGCCAGACTGTCCTTTGGTTAGGGGTTGCACATCTGATTGTGCTTCCTTCCTGGCTCCCCTCAATCTTTTCAACTTTTCCATCCTGGGGTCTTTGATGCTGGAAGCTTCTCTCTTGTTCTCTCTGTGGAGAGACAGAGGGTGTGTCTTTAGCAGTTTCTTGTCTCAAAGGCTGTTCTAATAGAGCCTTATTAATAGCCAGAACTGCTCCTGGAGAATCCCATTCCTTCAAGTTCAAGGTTTTTATTGCCTCTTTAACGGTGCAAACTGCTCTCTCAGCCACTCCGTTTGTGTGTGGCTTGTAAGGAATGGACCACTGGATTATTAGTCCTTCATTCTCCAGCAGCTCCAGAACAACTTTATTTTTGAAATGTGGTGCATTATCCATCCTGATAGCTTTGATCTGTGGATAACACACCAGGATTCTCGCTAGGCAATCTGCAATCTTTCCTGCTGTCATATTGGGCAAAGGAAACATACCTCCTATACTCTCCCCCCTGTTTCCTTTGACCACCAGGAAATACTTCTTGCCCCTTCGTGTTCTCTTTAGCTCTCCAATGTCACAAGAGACAGAGGTCAAACCTTCTGGACCAATACGGTCACCAACCACTTTCTCTGTGGGTTGTTTGCCCAGCTCTAAGCATAGAGCGCAGTGTGATTTAACATCTCTCAGCACAGAGTCCAAATGGGGAATGCAAACTGCATTCTGCAAGCACCACTTCTTCAGCCTTTGAAAGCCAGGGTGTCCCAAAGTCTCATGCAACTTCTTCACCAGGTCATGGTCAGACTCTGTACTGTCATGCAAAACCAATCTCACCATCCTGGCCTGAACCAGCCTGTCCACCTCAGCATTTCCTCTGGCAACGGAGGTGTCACTCAGTGTGTGAGCCGGCTGGTGTCGAACTTGGAAGTTACCTTTTCTCAGACAGTTAGCGATCAAAGCCCACTCGTCTGTAAATTTCACAGGGCCTCCAGATTGACCCTTAGTCATCCCATGTTTCTCCCACATGGGAAGTTCACTGTTCACCCCTTTACACACCCACTCGCTGTCAGTAATGATCAGCGCAGGAGATTTCCCATGTGTTCGCACATGGTGCACCATAGCTTCTAATACAGCTGTGAGCTCTGCTGTCTGAGCAGAACCTGCAATCCTCCCTTTTCTCTGAGAGGTCTTCTTGTTATGTACATATTTAATCCATGCCCAGAATGCCATAACGTCATTCTGTGTTTTTTCCTGTGTCTCTGTGCTCCAAAGCACAGTGATTGTTTTTACAAAACTCAATGACCTCACTCACTTTCCTCTGTGAGCACACGGTCATTAGTTATCAGTCTTCCCCCCAGTCTGCTCCTCAGACCTCGCTTTAAGGCCTGGAGAGACTGCATTTTCTCTGACAGCTGTTGTATATTTTCAACAAAAAAAAAACAGCTTTCCCAGCAATCCTTCAAGCTGTAACAGGGTTTTTGGCAGCGTGATGTTTTCAAAAACTGTCGCATCTACCTCTTTCCCCTCAGGAGTGTATTGATAACCCAGAAACTTTATGTCCTGAGTCACCAAGTAACTCGTTCCAATCCTCCATCCCCCTCCTTAATGGATTCTGAGGCACACGCGGGGGAGGGGTAGCTCTGATTACATATGGCTCACCTTTGTACAATCCACACTCATTCTTATTTTTGGCAAAGTTAATAGTTTTCAGCTCTTGTCTGAGAAGGGCTTTCTGTTGCTCGTCAATCAAAGCTCCCTGAACAATCCTGTCCATTTCTTTATCCACATTTACAACAGCTCCTCTCACCACCACCTGAAAATCATGATCTGGTGCAAGGCTTGCTGGATGAGTAAAATCAGACAGATTATTTTGCACAAGCTCCACCAAGTCTGAAATGCACAGCCAACTAGCATCTTTCGGCACAGGCATGGAATAAGCAACCATGTTTGCTTACTGCAGCCATCCCTAAATTTCCCTCAGTTACACGAGTATCTTTACTCATAAAGATCACCTTGCATCAAAATCGTTGTCCTTTAAAGGCAGGGTGTTCGTGCACACACACCAGCAGCAACTTAGCGGTTCTGCCCCGGATTACGTCCACGAGGTCAGGAATTGCAACCTGCGATTTAATTCTATTTTGTGAGAATCTTTTACGAGGCCACTCACTTTCCTGCGTGTGAGAATCTGTTAAGAGGCTCCCACAAAACCTCCTCGCGCCGTGTGCACTTGGTGGAGGGAACGCACTCCCACAGAACCGATTCAATCGGACCAGGGCGTTCCAAAACACTTCCATCTACTGGACTTCAGAATCAAAACTCGTAGGCTTCCCTAAGCGGCCCCTTGACCCATATAGCCGGCTCCTTGGGGACAAATTGTCCGCCCTTGCGGAAAATCTCCTAGTTCTGGACTTTCTAAGCTCACAAACAGGCTTCTTTCTACACAACTGCGAAATCACTGCCCCACATTACGGGCGCCATTTTACAAGCCATCTTCCCAAGCTAGCTGACTCTTTAATAAACACTACGTCTCAGGGTTGACTTGTACTTCTATTTATGCGTGAGCGTGATCATCCAGTCGACCTGCACACTAATGTGAGCTAATCAGCGATCATCTTTAACGTAAATTTAAATCCTGGCACACACACTTCTAGCAGCTCAAAGGAAGACTCTGTTCACACCCAAACACACCTCAGTCACCTGCAGCTTATACTATGCCCAGGTTAAAGACTCTAAGCTAAGTTATTAACCTCTTGGAGTGGGATTAAAAGTAACCAGCACCTCACCTTTCTGCGGTTACGCGACACCAAGGAGACCCCAGGCAGGAGATCCGTTTCAAAGCTCCTTATAAGAAGGAACAAAAGTTTTTATTTTATATGATGAAGTAAAAAAATATTCCAAATTCCCGACGCAGTGGGTCAAAAACACCGAACAGGTACAGACTCTCACTCAGAACTCCCCAAGAACTTCTCCAGCCCCGAACCAACCGGGCCCCCCTCTTTTATTCAACACAACAACTCCCCTTCTCGCCCATCTTCCGTCTCCATGACAACTCCCGCCTCGGAAGCATTCTTCGGCCTTGAGGCTCCTCCCAGCTCCCTTCCTCTTTGTGGGTCATCAGTCAGATGGGGGAGGTCCCCCCCCCCCCTTTTCCTTCCTCTTCTCCAGCCCAGATCAAAGGAAGTCAACCATAAACAATTTCCAGACATGGGTGTCCCTGAAATTCTTATCACATCCTGGACTACTTCATAAAAGTCAGTAAAAGGCTAAAGCTACAACATATATTTGCCATGAATAGCAGATTAGTGAAACACACTCATTATTTACGACATCAGGAGATCAGGAGTCAAGTCACGCACACACATTTTACACACAGACCTCTTTCTGAACTCTGTAGCCTGGTTACATCAACACACAGATTGAGATGTAATTCAGAACTGCTTTTATATGATAAAACAGGTCTGGAGAAATCGAAAATCTTTGTTCAACATACATAATGGGTTCATATATGAGTGTTTAATGTCTCTGAGCAGCTCTAGAGTCATATATTTATGCCACAGTTGAAGGGTGTCAGAAATAACACCAAATGAAATGTTTGACTTGGTTTATTTTATTTGAACCCAGTGGTTCGTTTCTGAAATGTTGGAGAATGAATCAAGTTCTGTTTGATGCAGAAACAATAAAACATAAAACTAATCCTACACTTCCAATAATATTTAAGATGTGTGTTTTATTCTTTCTAATAAGACCAGCAGAAGGCTGTGGGCTGGATTAGGATTAGATTACCCTGCTGATGGATCTCTTTCACTAACCAGCTAACTACAAACCTTTCCACTAACCTGTCCTGTGGGACCCTCACCATGTGACCCTCATGTCCATGCTGTCTCTGGAGGAGCAGATAGGAGCCAAGACCTCCTGTAACTTAAAATGCACCAAAGCTTCCTCCCAGCTTCTCTTTAAGCTGAATTTAACATCAGTTTATCATCATGAAACAAAAGAATAAAGTGGAACAAGAACTTCTTTCTTCTATTTCTCTCTCCTTTTAACTTCTCCGCGTCCCTAAATAAAAGAGACAGACTATCACGCTGCAGCCGCCGTCATTGACCCCGCCCCCTCCCCCGAGACCGGATCTCCCAGCTTTACAACACTTGGTCTGACTGAGCGCTTCCAGGAGAAAAAATAATTAAATTATGAAAATAATAATGCATGTTTGGAGCATCGGTTTGGAGGGGCGTCCTCCGATCCTCTCGTGTGAGCAGACAGTCTCTCTCTCTCTCTCTCTCTCTCTCTCTCTCTCTCTCTCTCTCTCTCTCTCTCTCTCTCAGTCGCTGATAGAGCGAGCGGAGCGCGCCGCATGACAACCCGCTCAATTAACATAATTCACGGCCCAAATCCAACAGAACCGGTCGGGCTGATTCGGTTCCGGTTCGGTCTCAGGTTACAACTCAAGCGCTCAGCCCTGCAGTACCACATTAAGGCGGAATCACTTGGTAAATGTGGAGGACACTCACTCTGACAGATTTGGATCTGCACTGGTGCCGCCATTAAAAAAACAAAACTACATTCCACCATAATCGATTATGGCGTACTCTTCTACGATGCAGAATAGTTTATGTCCGCATCCCGATGCATCGATTATTTGATTATTTTCCTCAGCTCTAACCACAATGTCCTCAGAAGCGAAAACGTTTTTAAAAGGGAGGGAGAAGTACTAACTCTCACTGCAGGCGTGTTGTGTGAGTGCAGTTATATACTGGTTAATATATTTTTGGGTTCAGTTGCTTTCATGTGGACTAATGTGAGTCTATTTGGGATCATTGGAATGATCAGCAGCATTTCTTGATGTGACTTTATGGCTGTTGCCCAGGGCATCATCACAAGAAGGATGGCATTCATTTACTTTTGTTTTATTTGGTATTTTTTCAGTCATTTTTGCAAATAGTGATTAATTTTGATTAATTCACAGCCTATTTTTAATTACATTTAAAAATTAGTTGTTTGACATCCCCAATTATAATGTCTACAGATGAGATCAAACAAAACAGATGAGAATTTCCTTAAAGAGCAAGTCACCCCCAAATAAACATTTTTTTTGCTGATAAACTAAATAAACGAGTGTCTAATCGTGCTGCAGACACGTGTCGTCAATAATTTGGCACTTCAGTGCATCTTAGTTCAAATTTAAATATTCTGCCTAAAACTGGCAGTGTTGTGCCACTGTCAGGTAAAAACTCTGCACTGTATTTTAATTTAAATCTGCCACCGCTATTGGCTAAGAAGTATGCTATGATGTAAACTGGTACATTATGATGTCACAATGCTGTCGTGAGCCTGAGTGTGTGTTTGTTAGCGGCTCCGCCCTGTCGGTCTGCCAGGCAACAGCATGTGTTTCATTTTTCAAACATGAAGTGGGAGTGGAGTTAGACTCTGGTAGGGGTTGACTTGCTCTTTAAGCTGTTTAACTTGGACCAACCATTTTAGGTCACAGATAGGTGTAGCTTAGGGTCTCTGTCTATACACCTTATAAGACAATTTAGGTGATGGCATGTTGTTTTTCTGCTATTGAACTGTTTTCTAATAATGTTGTGTTTAATAAAGTGAAGGAAGGAGAGAAATAACGTTTCCCTAGCAGTTTTTAAAAATGTCCCCATGTAATCAGATTAATCGATTAATCGTGTCGAGACCCCATCCGATTCATCGATTATCCAAATAATCGTATGTTGCAGCCCTACTTCACTTACTAAATGCGACGGGTGATTGGGTGAAGATGAAACCAGCGACAACGATCTAAGTGTGAGGCAACATCGTTTTAATCTGCTCCTGCAGCTAAATAAACTGTTTATAATAACGTTAGCTTGATAGATTAGCTTCCATTGTCACCATTGTTATCAGCTAATGGTGCATTCGCTTTCTCCTTGGAAATTTTAACTTCCCAGTAGGAAAAATCAAAGAAAAAGGATGGCAAACGGAATGAAGATACACAGTAAATTTAGTTCACAGTAAAGATGTTTGCTTCAGTTTAATTATCAGCTTATAAAACTACAAGGACAATGTTAAAATACAAACAGTTGTATGTTATTTATCATATTTATCACACATGGTTATATATTGAGAAATTTTTTTTTATTATAAAAGATAATTGAAATATTAAACACTCAAAAGTAGGGCCCGACCGATATGCTTTTTTTGGGACCAATACGATATAAAATTTTTAACAAAGGCCGATAGCCGATATAATGGCCGATAAATCTCCCTCACAAAAAAGAAATAAATACAAATGTTCTTGAGATTAAACCCTTCATTCTCTGCCTTTTTGATGCTAACTTATTTCTATATTACACACCAAAGAACTGTCTCAATAACTCACTAGGGTTTCCAAGTAATGCAAATAAGATTTATTTTGCAATCTCAAAAACAACAGAACACACAAACTCAGTCAGTATAAATCTAACATTCAAGTTTTTTGTTTTCTGAGTCTGTGGAGTTTTACACTTTTGTGTTTTGATCCTTTCCAAAGCCGACAGTATTAGGAAAATAAAAATAAGATACGTTAAATGACTAGTATGTGGCAATGTATAAGCCTTATGTAAAATATAAGACTGAAAAAATACAATAGATTTATTCTACTGTAGAGAGGAATGTTTATTTTCTCATATTACCACCCCTACTCCTCTCCCAGGTAGGGAGAGGAGGGGGGACTCCCTGCACAGCGTTTCATTGCTTTGTTGCCAACCCCCCTCGCCCATCCTCAGCTGCGACAACGGTCTTGTGCCGCCGAAGCGCCGCGAAACGGGGACCGCCTTCATTCGTCGCCCTTGTTATCCTATTCTATAGGCCACATGGGCCGCAGAAGTGCTGCGCGCCGGCGCTCCGCCCGCGCAGTGCAGCGATCGTTTCGGCGTCTGCACTATTTTTTTCACGAGCCGTGGGTGAACCGCGTGAGTTTGAAAAGACTGCTGAAGAAGAGCGGAGGAAATTGTCTGAGAATATTCCAGAATGTCTACCAGAAAAAGGCCAATGTTACTTACTTACTGCCCTGCATGACTAAAGGGGAAGCAGTGTGAGCTCTGCATAGAGCGTAATGCTGCAGCAGTTTTATTTTATTTTTTCAGGTTAACTTTTCAATACGAGGCCACAAGGCACACAATAAACTTAGGAAGCATGTTGAGGGGAAACATACTTTTGTCATTGCTTATTTTACCGTTCAACTTACCGCTGACACAACAAATATGCTTAAAACTGAAGATTTACCTCCTACTTCCTCATCACCGTCCTCTCTGCTTGACCAAATCGCTTCTGCTGCCCCGCTGTATGTGTGCTGTGACGGTGGCTCCACCCCCCGAGGAATGGAGCCACACAACATGAGTTCATAAAGCTGGCGCCATCTGCCGGATAGGTAGCGCAATATCGGCCATATCGACTGTCTTTTTGGCCGAAATGCCGATAGTGTTAATGACCCCTATATCGGCCGATAATATCGGCCGGCTGATATATCGGTCGGGCCCTACTCAAAAGTATCTTAAATTGGTACCGGCATCGATTCCTAGGTACCGGTAATAAGTACTGAATCGATTCAAATGTCAAAGGTACCCATCCCTAGTTGTTGTTGTTATTATTATTATATTATCACAAATATAAAATAAGCATCTTGGAAGTTTAGGATTCTTTATGGTTTTGGTGTTTTCAGAAGCAGAGCCTGGTACATGCTTTGTCTCACACACACACACACACACACACACACACACACACACACACACACACACACACACACACACACACACACAGAAATGTGTAAACTTTCTCGCCTGGGCAACATATGGAGACATGATTAAATTTGGTGGTGAACAGTAAAAATCATAAATTTGACTACTTTTGTCCAAAATGAAACCATTACATCACAGAAAGCATGAATATTTGATGCAGATAATACAGGATCAAAAACTGTGGTTTGCATTGAAGTCAATGGGACGTTTTTGTCCATAACAGGCACAAGAGGGTGGTAAATTTTAAATCTGCTGCTACACAAAAACTAAAAAAGCATAAAATGTGATATTTTGCCAGACTCTTGACATATCCAAGGCTGATTTAAAAAAGTTATTTCAGTCACTCAAAATATGTTTTATGTAAAATATCTCCTCTTTTGTCTGCCTTTTTCATGAAAAATGAGCATCACATAATCAAACTGGCATATGAAGGGTTAAAATTTTGATCAATATTTGAATTTTTTCTATCAGAACTGAAGTTGATCCCAAGATTTAGTCCCAAAAAGCAGAAAAAAATATTAATCTGGACTAGGGCTGGGCGATATATCAATATTTTTAAAATATCGGTACAATTTTAAAACAAGATATATGACTTTATATCTTTATATCGATATAACTGGTCAAACTGCTATGCTAGCAATTAGCCGCTATGCTAGTGACATGTTGCTCCGTATCTAAGCGGCTATTACATGTATTCTTACAAGTTTGCCCAATCTGAGAGCCTCTGGGTAAAAGTGCTGCTCTAAACTTCGCATTTGGCATCCTGGTATTTAATTATTTGTGGACGTTCAACGTCAACTGAGTTCTGTTTTCCATTCTGCTTGTGTGGAGAGACGAGCCAAACCCCTCCCTCCCCTGTGTAATGAGGAAACAACTACAGAAAGCCGTAGTGGCCAAATTACCTCAAATATATTACAAGGGTTTGAATAGTAATCTACAGGGTTACTGTTTTATTTTGAAGGGCGAGCTCAACGTGTGAGAAATGTTGTTCCATTTTTTTTTTCCGCTCTGGTTTGCTATGCAAGTAAATACTCCGTTACGAGCGATTCTGTAGAAAAAGTTAAGAGTTTGTAAGGTGTGGGTTACGGCGACAGTAGCCCGAAAATAATACTCATAAATGAGCAACCAGAGACTCTGAGTCATTACAGTATAATCGGTGATATGAGTCAATACTGTTGGGGTTAGGAGGAAAAATATCGATATATATCATATATCGGAATTCAGCTAAAAGATATCGAGATATAAGTTTTGGTCCATATCGACCAGCCCTAATCTGGACCATTTTTAAAGCTGTTTTAAAAGTGGACCTTTTTGTCCTCTAATGGCTTGAGTGTATAGGAAATTTTAAATCTGTAGCTATATAAAAACTATAAGTGCAAAAAATTCAAAATCTTAGATATTTCATAACATAATCAAGACTTGATTTGTACTGAACACCCCTGGCAAAAAAAAAAATTTCTTTTTTAGAAAATAACTCAGTTTTAGTGTTTTTTTCTGCATAATTTACATCAACGGTTTTAGTGGGGTTTTTTTTTTCATAAATTACATCAATGAATTTGTGTATTCAAACTGGCATTTCAGGGGTTAAAGGCCTCTAAATGGTTGAATTTTTTTATGTTTGAGCAGGGCTGAAGTTGTTCAACAGATCTATGAAAAAAAAGTAAAAAAACATTAATGTATACATTTTTTTATAGCCACTTTTACAAGCGGACATTTTTGTCCTCTAATGACTCTTTTGTATGAAAATTAAAGTGAAGCCTGAGGGTTAAGGCTCATATGATTTATAGAGGCTCAAAGTTCAATTTCCAGTTGTAAATACATTTCATTCTACTGTCAGTTTAAAGAAATAACAACTGTCATAATGTGTGAAAACAAAGTTATAGCTGTCTATAATTCACATAATATGTTTCTGTGTTTCCTACAGATTTTCAACAGGTGGTTGCGGTTAAAGAAGAAGCTACAGAAGAACAGAGTGCTCGTGTCAACCACCAGCACCTAGATTTTCTCCACACAAAGGAGGAATAGGAGAAACTCTGGCCTAGTATGGAGGGAGAGCATCTCCATTTGAATAAGGAGACTGATGCTGCCCGGTTTCAATCCTTTAGCCATAAAACACATTTAAACAAACACACGAGAGTCTACATGAAGCAGAAACATTTTGCCTGTGAGCACTGTGGACAAAGGTTTCACCAAAAGATTAATTTAACCACACACACAAGCGTCCACACAGGACAGAAGCCTTTCGCCTGTGACCTCTGGGGAAAGAAATTTAGCTTAAAGTCAAATTTAAACATTCATATGAAAGTCCACACAGGAGAGAAGCCTTTTGCCTGTGAGCTATGTGGACAAAGATTTAGCCAAAAGACCCATTTAAACATTCACATGAGAGTCCACACAGGACAGAAGCCTTTTGCATGTGAGCTCTGTGTAAAAAGATTTAGCCAAAAGACACATTTAAACAGTCACATGAGTGTCCACACAGGACAGAAGCCTTTCGCATGTGAGCTCTGTGTAAAAAGATTTAGCCGAAAGACACATTTAAACAGTCACATGACTGTCCACACAGGACAGAAGCCTTTCACCTGTGAGCTCTGTGTAAAAAGATTTAGCCGAAAGACAAATTTAAACAGTCACATGAGTGTCCACACAGGACAGAAGCCTTTCGCCTGTGAGCTCTGTGTAAAAAGATTTAGCCAAAAGATATGTTTAAACAGACACATGAGAGTCCACACTGGCTTTTCGCCTGTGAGTTCGGTGGAAAAGATTTACCCAAAAGATCAGTTTAAACTGTCACAACAGAGTCCATAAAAGACAGAAGCATTTTGCTTGTGAGCTCTGTGGACAAAGATTTAGCCAAAAGACACATTTAACTAGTCACATGAGAGTCCACACAGGACAGAAGCCCTTCGCCCTTGAGCTCTGTGTAAAAAGATTTAGCCAAAAGATAACTTTGAACAGACGCATGAGAGTCCACACTGGCTTTTTGCCTGTGAGTTTGGTGGAAAATATTTACCCGAAAGATCAATTTAAACGGTCACTTGAGAGCACACAGGATAGAAGCCTTTCACCTGTGAGCTCTGTGGACAAAGATTTAGCCAAAAGACACATTTAAACAGTCACATGAGAGCCCACACAGGACAGAAGCCTTTCGCTTGTGAGTTCTGTGTAAAAAGATTTAGCCAAAAGACACATTTAAACAGACACATGAGAGTCCACACTGGCTTTTCGCCCGTGAGTTTGGTGGAAAAGATTTACCCAAAAGATCAATCTAAAAGTCACAAAAGAGTCCATAAAGGACAGAACCATTTTGTGTGTGAGCTCTGTGGACGAAGATTTCGCTGAAAGAAAACTTTAAACAATCATCTAAGCGTCCACTAGGGCTGAACGATCTATTGCAGGGGTCTCCAACCTTTTTTGGCCCGTGAGCTACTTTTACACAATCAAAGTACAGCAGAGTTACTGCCATATGATTTATTTACATAGATACTTTCCATGTGTGAATGTGCTTATGTTAAACATGCTATACTTACTATATTAACATGCATTGTATTCACAAGTTGATTTCTCTGTATTTTAGTACATCAGTATATGTATATTTTAAAAGTATAAGTAAACTAGTGACATTCTGAAAACCAAATTGAACAAAACATATTTAGTTTTTTAAACTAATCAGATACTTTCAGATAATGAATAACAAATCTACTTCATGTGAATGATTTGGTAATTTTTTTAGAAGGTTAGTAACATAACTTTTTAAGCACACAGGAACAGCTAACCTGTAAAGCTGATGATATTTTATATAAAATACAAGCTAAATGTGATGAAAACACAAAAGTCTAAATAGTTTGAACTGAAGTAAAAAATGTAAAATCAGAAATAAGACTTGTTCCTGCTCTCCTGATTTACTGAATAATCTTAATGGGGTTTTTTTTTTTTTTTGGTCATGAAAGTTAAGTTTTGCTGGTTTATTGCTGACAATATTAAGGTTGGAGGTTTATCCTTTTTTTTCTGCATCTTGTAGGTTTTTTCTCCGCAGGTCTGAAGGCTGTGCGTTACACAGAGCAGAGAGACAGAGCAAGAGACCAGAACCAAAAGAAATGATCACATCACACCAATCTTAAAATATTTACATAGGCTTTCAGTAACTTACATGATTGATTTCAAAGACCTTTTACTTACTTTTAAATCATTAAATGGCCAACGACCTCGTACTTAGCAGAGATGTTTCAAACGTATCACCCTTCAAAATCACTTAGGTCAGCAGATAAATCCCAACTGGTACAACCCAGAGCCCGCATCAAGCACGGAGCGGCTGCCTTTAGCTGCTATGCGGTCAATCTCTGGCACTGTCTTCCAATAGACATTAAGACCTCTCCCACCATTTCCATTTTTAAATCCAGATTAAAAACTAAACTTTTTCATGATGCCTTCCATTAACCTATCCTTGCATCTGTGCTCTATTAGGTCTTCATCTGTACTGTGTTAAATTTATTCTATATGTATTTTATATGTATACCTATTCCGTGCTGTTTTATTGTGTATTATTGTGTAATTAAAGTGAATACTTGTAATAAAGTGTAGTTATTGTGTAAAGCAGTATATACTAGCAATGATTAATAAAAATGAAAACTAGAATTGAACCTGAGTTACATGGTAATAACAATTTAAGAACTCAGAAACATTCTTCAACTCCGAATCAGGAGGATCAGCACCTCCAAATCTGAGACCATGTTTCTCGACCGGAAAAGGGTGGCTTGCCAACTCCGGGTCGGGGGAGAGGTCCTACCTCAAGTGGAGGAGTTTAAGTATCTCGGGGTCTTGTTCACGAGTGAGGGTGGATCGGGAGAACGACAGGCAGATTGGTTCAGCGTCTGCAGTGATGCGGATGCTGAGCCGATCTGTCGTGGTGAAGAGGGAGCTGAGCCAGAATGCCAGGCTCTCGATTTACCGGTCGATCTACGTCCCAATCCTCACCTATGGTCATGAGCTTTGGGTAATTACCGAAAGAACGAGATTGCGGTTACAAGCGGCCGAAATGAGTTTCCTCCATAGGGTGGCCGGGCTCAGCCTTAGAGATAGGGTGCGGAGCTCGGACATTCGGGAGGGACTCGGAGTAGAACCGCTGCTCCTCCGGATCGAAAGGAGCCAGTTGAGGTGGTTTGGGCATCTGGTCAGGATGCCTCCTGGACGCCTCCCTGGGGAGGTGTTTTGGGCATGTCCTGCCGGCAGGAGGCCCCCGGTTTGACCCAGGACATGTTGGAGAGGTTACATCTCCAATCTGGTCCGGGAACGCCTTGGGGTCCTGCTGGAGGAGCTGGTGGAGAAGGCCGGGGAGAGGACGGTCTGGAGCTCCCTAGTTGGAATGCTGCCCCCCACGACCCAGACCCGGATAAGCGGAGGAAGACAACGACGAACTCAGAAACAATACACTAACTTACTAAGTAATTACCATGTAAGTACTAAGTAATTAGAGGACTGTAAAAGAAAGCGCTACCAATAATTGTACTTAATTAGCTTTTATTTTTGTGTGCTATTGTCAAGTTTTCCCCTGTCCAGCTTCTGTCCAAACTTGAAAAGGACTGGTTCCACCCAGGGGCGTAGCACCAAATTCTGGGCCCTAGGTACAAGTCTTCTAGGTGGGCCCCCATGCTCAATTACTTAATATCTCTCTTACACATTTTTTGTCATGCTATAAGACAAGATAATAAATATGATCTTAGTTTAACCTCTATATTGAGCAAATACAAATGCCAGCATAATAAAAGTGAAATGCCCAGACTTCACATATAATTATTTTTATTTGCCAACAATGTGTTCAAACAAAAATCCTGGAATTTATTTTCCAGTAAATGCCCACTGACGGGTCTACATGTTAGCAAAATCACTTATGAGATCTTTAAAGTCCAATGCTTTGGCTAATTGGCTTTCAATAGAAAGAAGAGCTAGGCTGTTCACTCCATCCTGGGACATTGTTGATCTCAAATAATTTTTCACTAGTTTCAGTTTGCTAAAAGCCTGTTCACCCCCCAGCAACAGTCACAGGTAGTGTGTAAAATATCCTCAGTCCAATACAAACTTCTCCAAAAATGCTCTGTAATTGCATCCTGTAGATGGCATTAAGCAGCTCAAGAGGAGACCGAATGTGTGGAAATGTGGCACCATATATTGTTCTCAGGTGTAGCATCTCATTCTCAAATTCAGCAGTGAGATCCTTGCAATATTTTCTCATCAGTGCCTGGCATGATATCTTCATCTGCTCTTCAGTCATGTCTGTCATGGTTCATGATGTTAAGCTGTGCTGATATGTATTGATATATTAAATACATATGACATGAAATAAACCAGGTTCTCTCTGTGAATGTAATGTACTCTAAATTTTACAATCCCTGCATTATCAGCCAAATTATAAGATTGTCCGTTTTCAAGATCAAATATAAAGAAATTTAAAATAGGCTTAAAATATGTAACCAAGTCAATAACAATCCTCTAACACCAGTGTCATCATGCTATACGAAAAACAGTGGTAGCTTCACATTCCTGAGATTACCACGAATCCATCGATAACAAGTTTGTCCTGGTCCATGACTGGGAAGGAGCTGAAATATCCACACAGAGTGAACCTGTTTTTACTGCGAGGTCCGCGAATTAATTGGCGGCCACCGCCCGCGATAATAATTCTGATTAATATATCTATATCTATATCTATATATATATATATATATATATATATACATATATTGTAGCGTTATGAAGCTTATAATGGTCTACCCATAACAGCTGCCCCTTCACACAGTAACATCACCGAGGTCAGATGCTTGGTTCAGTATGTTTACATTCCAGGAGAAGAGACAGAAGAACAGAAGAAGAACGCTTTTCATTGATTAATCAAAGTACTTTATTTGTGATAAGCTAATCAAAGCATTTGTTGATCATTAATAATCAGGTGAATGATCTGTGAAATAAAGATGTCATGAGTTATGTGTTTAAATGAATAAACAGGACTGCACCAGACAGACTGATATACATTACCATGGAAACGCATGACACATTATTCTCAACCAATCAGAACTTTCGTCTGTCGTAGAGAGAATCTGGGATGTTTACTTAATGTGTCCAATTCGGTTTACTAAGATTGGTAAACAATTAGGAGATATAAAAGAAGGCAACGCCATTTTATATTCAGTTCCACGTTAAGTGTTCCATGTTAACATCAGCTCTGTTCGATCCGAGCTCCCAAGGAGTTACATCATACTCTCAACATTGTTTTCAACCAGCTCTCAATCCATCACCGCAAAGAGGAGTACAGGCTGGCCAGCTGTATTTCCTATTTTAAGCTGAGAACTGTCAAGCTGGAGATTTCCGTCGTTTGAATCCACGAGACGACATTCCTTCAAAATAAGAGTGAACTTGCTGACGCCTGCCGACTACTACCGGAGCTATCCTCAGACGGTCTTTGTAGTGCTGCGACCGCTGTTCCACCAGCTCCAGTACAACCGAGGTCTTAGGACCTGGCAATTCCTGATCTACACGGGAGACTCCATCTACGGTACGTGGTCACGGCAGTATGGCGGCTCATGTCATCAGCTTCTGAAGCCTCGTGGTAGCCTTGTCATAACAAACCAGATTCGCTACGTCAGCCTAGAGATTCTGAACAAAACACACACACACACACCAACACGAAACATCTAAATCCATATGCATTCATCATTGAGATAGTCCTGGTAGATTGTAAGAATTTATAATTATAGAAATTAAAGATTCTTAAACGATCCCAACTCTCTCTCTTTTCTTGTCTCTCAGTCAATACAGAGTGTTTAAGTAAACTCCCTGATGATAAAAACAACCACTTCTGATTGATTACTTAGATCTAATTACAGTGTATAAATATACAAAATCAGATAATTAAATTATCTAATTACAGTGTATAAATATACAACTTCAAATCACTACATTTTGGCGAGCTTAGCCTGATATCTGCACAGCCAATTTTGAGACATATTTGGGATTTTTGTTCAGTGTGAGTTCAGAGAAAGGAAAAGGCGAGCCTTTCCTCCTTCAGCTTAGAGACAGCTTTTATCTTGAAGGGGGGTGCACATTCATCACCCTCCACAGGAGGCGCTGTTTCATCAAAACACCTTAAAGCTGACGTGGCGAGCGGCCATCTTGAGGCCTACATGTGAAGGTATACTTTTCCTGTCTTGGTACGTTGAAAACTGTCTGTTTTATTGTTTGTCGCTGTGTTTGTGACACTGTGTGAACATTTTTTGTAAAATCGGAGATTTTACTCCCCATCGGAATAATTTCCGTTCGGTGCGGTGACTGATCAGCGCCTATTCTTTTCCGGTAACCGCGCTAGCATAATCGTTAGCTTAACTCGCTAATATTATAAACTGTAAGCCGTGGTTAGAGACCGCGGACCGCATCTGCACACCAGAGTGCAGTCGCTAAAGTCCCTAATTACCTCGTCGCTGAAGACATTTGGTTAATCTGGCATTTTTTGTGCTGGTAGCTCCAGACAATAGCTAGCATTAGCCGGAGAGCTAACTAGCAACCTCTGTTTGGCCCGAGTACGCGTTCCGATAAGCTGTCAAAACCGTTCTGACGCAGCGATTCTGCGTCCTAAATTCTGCTGAACCTTCCGGTACAAAGTACAGTCGGTTCAGTTGGCGGTGATTCTTGTCAACCGCTCCGGTGTGTAACACCGCGATTTGCTACCGGGATAAACGCCGAGTGACGGACGGCGCATGCGCGGCGATCCGCCATCTTAGGTAACCCGACACGTAGCTCGACCCTCCATCTTGGGTAGGTCAAAAGAGAATATTATTTTTGGCATTACTAAACGATTTTGCCCAAAATATTCATTCAAAAGCCAAGCTTCCCTGTAACTAATTATTTGATAAGTCTACAGGTAAGGTTGTTTCTGGGGAAATTAGTAAATTAAAGAACACATTACTAATTTGGAAGATGGGCTCAGAGGAAACAATGCAATTTCCATCACAACTTCAGGTGGCGATGCAAAGCGCTATCCTACCGGTGATGATTGAGATGAGGAACATGATGAACATGATCTGCGCTCTTCAGAAAGACGGCGAGGACGTCAAACAGTTTATGCGTGATTTTCAGGCGACACAGGCAGCAACCCCGTGTTTGGCCGAGACGCCGCCGGATGAGACGAGGATGCTGCGGGCTGATGTTTTCACAGGTTCTGACTCGCAGGAAAACAACAACACCTCGAAGGAAAGCAAAAACACCTCACCGGTCGTTCCATCAGTGGCGATGTTAGGCGATGCACCCATGGACGACGACCCCGGTACCGCTATCGCCGTGACTGACAAAGTTTTGCTAGCAACTCTGGTCATGAGGACGGGGTCTGATAGGCCCGCAGTTGAGGTCACTGTAAATCAGGGACATCGCTGTGTCGCGTTGCTGGACACAGGTGCGGACATTACGCTCATGAGCGGAGTTTTTTACAACAGCATGTACGACAAAAGGGGGGAGGGCCTCTCACCCCCCCCCCCCACTCATTACAGGCCCGATGATTTTCACTGATTTCGGTGGCGCTCCAGGAACCGCGTCTTCGAAGACTGAGGTGAACATCTCGATAGGGGCCATGTCCTTAAAACACCCCATGTACATCGATGAGAACATGCCCTTTCCCATGCTCATTGGGTTGGACTGTCTCCGGCACCTGGACGCTAAAATCAGCTACAAGTCCGGGGAACTGTTTGCGCGTGTGAAAAAGCCTAAGCCGTACAAGCCGCCACCTGACAAGGACTTCCACTACTCTGTGGCAAGCCTTTCGGGTGAGGCCGCGACTGCGGGCTCACCACCACTCTCAAAGCCGCCCGGAAAGCCCCCTGAAGTTCTGTCCCAGATTGAGAATGTCATAGACCAAGCTGATGCTCTCACCAACGAGGTCGAGCGAGACAAACTACGACAACTGTTGCTGAAGTACTCGGATTTTCTTTCTCTTGACTCCTTGGACTGTGGTCTGACCACTATCCATGAAGTCCAGATTCCTACAAGGCCAGATGCACCGCCGACATTTGTGCGGCAATACAAGATTCCCCTGGCGTCCCAAAGACCAGTCCAGGAAATCATTGACAGCCTCTTGGCTAAGGGGATCATTCGACCCTGCAATAGCACCTACTCGGCTCCGTTGTGGCCGATACTGAAGCCTAATGGTAAGTGGCGACTAACCATTGACTACCGGCAACTCAACAAACAGGTTCCCTTGTCGAAGTGGCCTATGGCACGCCTGGAGCAGGAGCTTCCACGAGTGAAAGATGCTAGGTACTTTTCCACGCTTGACATTGCGTCCGGATTTTGGACGATTCCCGTCCACGAATCGGACCAACACAAACTTGCCTTCTCCTTTGCCAACTGGCAGTACACCTTCACCTGGTGTCCTTTTGGTTATTCCAACTCACCTGCTGAGTTCAACATTTTCTTGAACAAAGCCTGCCCCGATGCTCGAGAGCGAGGGACCCTCATCTATGTCGACGATATTCTTGTTCGTCAGCGTACATTAGATGACCACCTGTCCGAGCTGGACCATGTCATGGGTCAGCTCGCGGCGGCGGGTGCAAAGATCTCTCTCGCCAAAGGACAGTGGTGCAGGTCGCAAGTTCAAAACGTTGGCCTCCTGGTGGGACCACAGGGAGTGCAACCTCAACTTGGCAGAATTCAGGGCATTGCCACCATCACCCCTCCGACAAACGTCTCCGAACTTCGGAGCTTCTTGGGGGTCTGCAACTACTCGCGTCAGTTTGTGGAACATTACGCGGACATAGCACGACCTCTGACTAATCTGTTGAAGAAGGATGTGGCATTCGAGTGAGCAGAGCAGCACCAGCAGGCCATGGATGACCTGAAGGCCGCGATGTGCTCGGCTCCGTGCTTGGCGCTCCCCGACTGTGACAAGGTGTTCCACCTTGAGGTTGGTTTCTCAGCTCACTGTTTGAGTGCTGGTCTCTACCAAATTCACGACTGCGACAGGCGTGTGGTAGCCTATGCTAGTAAGCTCTTGTCTGGGCCTGAGTTGAAGTACTCAGACTGTGAAAACGCTTTGCTTTCCACCATGTGGGCAGTTAAGTACTTTGCGAACTACATTGGCGGCCAGAAAATCATCATTGAGACACAGCACCAGCCGGTGACCTTCCTTAACAGTCAGCGCATCAGAGATGGTGTGGTGACCAATTCGCGGATTGCGTCATGGCTGCTGGCTCTTCAAAGCTTCGACATCGAGGTGCGCTACGCCCAGAACCGACGTAGCCCTCTTGGCATGGGTTTGGCTGCGTGCCAACACTGCTCGGACGACGCCATCGCGTCAGTACCGCCACCCAGCCCCCCTCAGACTCTTCTAAACCACAACCACCACTACTACGACCAGTCAGTCTGTGCGGATTTGCCAACCGTGTACGTAGATGGCAGTGCTTTTCGGCACGGTCCTGCGCCTGGAGCGGGCGTGGGTGTCGTCTGGGTGGACGGTGACCGGAGGGAGTCCCAATGTTACTCTCTGGGTGAGAGGACCTCACAGTTTGCTGAAGTAGCGGGGATCGTGATCGTGCTACGTGGCGCTAGAGACCGTGGCTTCCGTAAACTAGTGATTTGCACTGATTCGGACTACACGCGTCTAAGTTTCCTATGTCATCTCCCATCTTGGAAGAGCAATGGGTTCCAGACCGCTAACCGGAAGCCCGTCAAACATGAGGCACTCTTCAGAGCATGTGACATTCTGGTGACTGCACTTGACATGCACGTTTACTGGCGTAAGGTCAAAGGCCACTCTTGCGCACCCAGTCCTGAAAAGGAGTTGAACGATCTCGCAGACTCTTTGGCCAAGCGGGGCGCGACCGAGGGTCCCCTGTGGTTTTTCGACCCCAGGTGGCTTGAGGGACGGGTGTGGTCTTTCCCTGATCAACACCAGGTGTGTGTTGTTACTCGAGCTCAGGTCACTAAGGCGTCCACCTCGGACCCAACCAAAGGTGCGGTGTCCGTTGGACCTGCCTGCTCGGATACCGATCTTGTCAGTCTTCAATCCCGGGACCCTGCTATCAGCAGGATGATCAAATACATTTCTGATCCTAAAACCCAGCTACCGACTTCCATCGAGCTTGACTCCGTTCCTGAGCTTCGGTCTCTCTTTCGCGTGCATTCCACACTGAGGATGGTCGAAGGGCTGCTGATGCACGCCGCCAAGCCTCCTTTGCCGCCCGTCCTTGTCACACCAAAGCCGCTAAGGAGGGCCAAGGTCACGCAGGCTCATGACTCTCCATCCGCCGGTCACAAAGGTGTCAAGGCCACGTTCGGTGCCCTGAGCCAGGTTGCTTATTGGCCGGGGATGCGTCGTGACATCTCAGACCACGTCGAGCGTTGCTTGGTTTGTTGTCAGTTTCAGCCGTCCAACCCTACGCGCAGAGCTCCCCTACAGGAAAGAGGGCCGACCACTCCATGGTCGGACTTGCAATTCGATTGGGTGGGGCCTCTGACCAAAACCACCAGGGGAAGTAGATATATGTTGACTGTCACCTGTGCATTCACCAAATGGGTCGAATGTTTGCCAGCACCTGATGACACGGCGAAGACGACAGCGGTCCTCTTGATGAATCACGTCTTTGCCCGCTTCGGTCTGCCCACGCGGGTCGACTCGGACAGGGGTACCCATTTCACCTCTGAAGTGATGAGACATCTGTGGAAACTGTTGGGTGTCAAGGCTAAGTTCCACATTAGCCACCGTCCCCAGTCTTCTGGACAAGTCGAAAGGGTGAACCGCACAGTTATCAGCATGTTGAAGAAGTACGTGTCAGCTAACCACCAAGACCGGGATGTGAAGCTTCCGTTGGTCCTCATGGCCATACGGGCTACCCCTCACGAGTCTACAGGTGTCTCCCCATTTGAAATGATGACAGGCAGACAAATGGCCCTACCGCTTCACCTGCTGTATCGACGAGTTCAGGCCGACACAGCCCCGACGTGTACGAGCGACCAATATGTGCAGGACCTGAGAACTCACCTGCTTGCAGCATTCTCGTTCGCACAGGCATCTCTGGAGAAGTCGTCTGAAGGCAGAAAAACTTATTACGATAAGAAAGCCTCACATTCCGAACTCGAGGTCGGTGATGAGGCCTGGTACTACATTTTCGCTCCCAAAATGGGTGGCAATAAGGGGAAGCTGGCTAAGAAACTTTTGCCCAAATGGTCGGGTCCATACCTGATAACAGATAAGATCTCTCCGGTCGTGTATCAGATCAAGATCACCGGCAAAAACAGGGCACCCGTCTACAAATGGGTACACAGGGACCATATCAAACTGCACAAGGGTTCCGCAGATTTGGCCGATGACAACAACAATCTACCGACTTCAAAAGGGGGGTGAAAAATACGTCCCGTTGGTTCCACAGATTTCTATCTCAGGTTACACAGATTTGTTTGTTTGTGAGTGTGCATGGTTGTCTTTCATGTTATACGTCACGTGCAGACTTAGGGTGTGTTGAGACGGACGTGCTGTGGGCTCCTGGAGTCAGGTAAACGGCCAGGTAACAGTAAGTGGGTTAGGCCACATAGTACTGTTGTCCAATTTTTTTTTCTTTTCTCTTTGCTAATCACAATTCCTTATGGGTACATTCACATGAAGGGATTACTAACTACTGATTTACATTTTAGTACTGATTTACATTTCTGTTTTTTTAGTATCTTTTAAGTTGATTTAAAAGTGATTGTTATGATTATCAAGTTGATTTATCTTACGGGCCATGACCAGTTTTTCCCCTATCCTGACAGCGTGTATTTCCAGTGAGGATTCACTGATACCAGTTTGGGTTCTTTCTTTTTCTGCTTTTTGCATCATCCTTTTTGCATCTCACACAGAGAAGGTTGCATCCATTTCTTCACTTAATGGGTAATTCACATAAAACTTACACATAGTACAACAGGTACTCATAGGGTTAGGTTTTTATTTCTTTGATGACATGAAATGCCATTTTGTCGTGTCTACATTGAAGTGCCTGCACTGTGCTCTCTCTCCTCTGTTGAGCTCGTGAGGATCCTGCTTCCTGGGGGTGGATCCGTATCTCGTCATCTGCATCGACTACTCCTGGGTGGTGCTCCGGCTCGTTGGCCTTGGACGACCAGGGTTCCGGCATGGCTGCTGGGACACCGCATTCGTTGGGATTACTGTCTACTACTCTTCCCTTTTTGTGGATTACGATAAGTACTGTTGCAAAGTTCAATTTTTATTTGGAATATTACCCTGCCAGTGGATACAAAGATCAATCTTATATTTGGAATATTACCCTGTCAGTGGAAACATAGTTCAATTTGCTATTTGGAATAATTACCTGCTCGTGGATATACACAAGATTTGCTCCTGCTTTGCATTTTTACCGTGAGGATATACAGCTGCTGTTGCTTCAATTGTGGCTTCTGTGGGGAATAGTTAATAACCTGCTGACTTGTGTTCTTCCTGAGGAGTGTGCGGGAATGTTCTTCAGCGTGGGGTTCGTACCTCACCACAGTTGGCTTTTCCCGTGGGATCACATCCTGTTCGGTTGTCAAGATTCTTCATAACTTGGGTTTGTTCAACGACCAAGTGGTCTCTTGCAGGACCACATTGACCTTGAAAAGGGGGGATGTGTAGCGTTATGAAGCTTATAATGGTCTGCCCTTAACAGCTGCCCCTTCACACAGTAACATCACCAAGGTCGGACGCTTGGTTCAGTATGTTTACATTCCAGGAGAAGAGACAGAAGAACAGAAGAAGAACGCTTTTCATTGATTAATCAAAGTACTTTATTTGTGATAAGCTAATCAAAGCATTTGTTGATCATTAATAATCAGGTGAATGATCTGTGAAATAAAGATGTCATGAGTTATGTGTTTAAATGAATAAACAGGACTGCACCAGACAGACTGATATACATTACCATGGAAACGCATGACATATTATTCTCAACTAATCAGAACTTTCGTCTGTCGTAGAGAGAATCTGGGATGTTTACTTAATGTGTCCAATCCGGTTTACTAAGATTGGTAAACAATTAGGAGATATAAAAGAAGGCAACGCCATTTTATATTCAGTTCCACGTTAAGTGTTCCACGTTAACATCAGCTCTGTTCGATCCGAGCTCCCAAGGAGTTACATCATACTCTCAACATTGTTTTCAACCAGCTCTCAATCCATCACCGCAAAGAGGAGTACAGGCTGGCCAGCTGTATTTCCTATTTTAAGCTGAGAACTGTCAAGCTGGAGATTTCCGTCGTTTGAATCAACGAGACGACATTCCTTCAAAATAAGAGTGAACTTGCTGACGCCTGCCGACTACTACCGGAGCTATCCTCAGACGGGCTTTGTAGTGCTGCGACCGCTGTTCCACCAGCTCCAGTACAACCGAGGTCTTAGGACCTGGCAATTCCTGATCTACACGGGAGACTCCATCTACGGTACGTGGTCACGGCAGTATGGCGGCTCATGTCATCAGCTTCTGAAGCCTCGTGGTAGCCTAGTCATAACAAACCAGATTCGCTACGTCAGCCTAGAGATTCTGAACAAAACACACACACACACACCAACACGAAACATCTAAATCCATATGCATTCATCATTGAGATAGTCCTGGTAGATTGTAAGAATTTATAATTATAGAAATTAAAGATTCTTAAACGATCCCAACTCTCTCTCTTTTCTTGTCTCTCAGTCAATACAGAGTGTTTAAGTAAACTCCCTGATGATAAAAACAACCACTTCTGATTATAATATTTAGATCTAATTACAGTGTATAAATATACAAAATCAGATAATTAAATTATCTAATTACAGTGTATAAATATACAACTTCAAATCACTACATTATATATATATATATATATATATATATATATATATATATATATATATATATATATATATATATATATATATATTAGTGTTTTCACTGATAACACTAGGGCTGTCGCGGTTGAGGAATTCCCCCTGCGGTGATTCAGGGTGGCTTAATATTGCGGTGTGCGATATTATTGCAGCCCTTTTTTGTTGCAGTACTATCTAAACATAATGTTTACACATTTAAAAAAGGTTAAAAATTGCCGTGCCTTCTTTAATAACACTTTACTGAATGCAGATCAAAGGGCAGTAACAACACAGATCGCAGTAACGTTTGTTTCTCCGACAGTCGGAGTCCGACTGAACTTAAAAACAACAAAATTCAGGAGAAGGTTAAACTTTTAAATGCAAATTTAGCTGCAGCATCTAACAAATAAGAAACAATTCCCCATTTTGTTTAGTTGTTTAAAATCAAGCATAAAAAATTACATGTACCGGGTGCGCGCGCGCCGGGGGGCGGGCGCACTATCATTTCACTTTCACACACACGAATGACGGTGATTTATAGCTCGGTCACGTCCTTGTTACCTACAAGGAAAACCAGCATGTTAACCATATACGGTTTGAGGGAGGATCTGAGAGGGGTGGCAACATTTCCAGCAACACTGAAAACCCTCTCGGATGGTGCGCTCGTTGCACTAACGCGCACGTATACTTGCGTGCGACTCTGGCGAGCAAAGGGAATCTCTCCCGGTTGTTGCTCCACCATGTCAGGGTTTTTTCTTTAGGGTGGATGCATTCCTCCTGCAGGTAGCGAGTGAGCTCCAGCTCGGCTCAAACTCTCTTCGGGACGGTTGCAGAAGCAGTGCTTGTCCGGGACTTCAGCAGGTCTCCGAGCGTTTATTATTATTTTTTGCCGCTGGTGGCAGCTCTGTCCCGGCCAAGGACTCTGGCTGCGCAGCAGCTGACGTACTGAAAACCAAAGTGCTCCCAAAGGAGCGAAGTAACGTTTCGTTTTGATACTAGTGCAGCCATCCTTCTCAACATGCATCATTGAGTTGAACCAAGTTCAGTAATCGCGGTGGCCCATGATGCAGCGCGGTGGGCTTCTTCATATTGCGATATTTCATTTTTGGGGTTACCGCGACAGCCCTAGATAACACTAATTAATTTATATTTGATCTTGATGGTGAAACTAAAGGCGTTTAACACTGAACACCTAACATGAATGCAGTTTCTGAGAGCTAGCTAGCTCAGCTAAAACTGTGTTCTGCTGCTGCTGCTCACCTTCCTTCTTGAAAAACCTAGTCAATACTTGCTTCTGTTCAATTAACTTTTTCTCCTTCTCCTTCTTTTCTTTTCTGGAAGCCAGATTTCCCTTTCTTGGGAAGATACATGACTGACTCTCCTGCCTCCAGCTCTGGCTGTCGGCATCTGCGATGTCTCATTAGCTGTACATGCGGCCATGCAGCCCCTGGCCGCTGGTGTGGACTAAACCACTTTGCACATTTTTAAGGGGTGATAGATGCCTCAGAGATTATTCAGTTATTATTTTTAAGGCGAAATTCTGTTTCTTAACCTCTTTATCCAGGTAAAGGGAAGTTTATTAAGACATTAAGTAAGTTGGGGGGAAAAAACAACAACAATAAAAAATTTTTATTCAAAGCTGTCTCAGGGCCCCTCCCTGCAGTGGGCCCTGGGTAAACGGTACCCCCCCCCCCCCCCCCCCCCCCCCCCAGTCCGACGCCCCTGGTTCCACCACAAAAAGTGAGCTAGGAAACAACTCATTCTTTTCTCGGTTTATTCGAGGTAAATCAGTGTTATATTCCAGCTAGCTCAGGCAGAAATAGGAAAAACAGGCAGCGTAGACTCGAGTCTCAGAACACCATCATCCTTTATTCTACTCCTTTTCTTCTTCACATCGCAAACACCACAGTGCCACCTTTTGGTCAGATACAGGAACTACATCTAAGAACACAACATATTTCCCCCTTGTTTAGAAAGATCTCAGGGTAACAGAAGAAATGCAGTTATAACAGAACTCATCAGAATTAGCTTTCCAGACACATTCCAACCTGTCAGGGTACTCAAATAACTTGACTGAACACCCAAGGCTTATATACTTTTCTCATTCTTACTACTTAAGCCTTGAAAACAAATATAGTCCTGAATGTTTAACAAACTTCTATGTCATACATGACAACCACCTTTTTTCACTTCCTGTAACACTTATGCATTAAGACCAGAACAATACAATAACACAGCCTTCTTTTCTTTTTCTTTTAACATTTATCCCAACTGCCCCCCAAAGGCCATAGATGAACATTCAATGTTCAAAGTCCTCCAGCCAAGCTGGTTTCTTTCTGATCCTCGCAGGCCTCTGTGGACCTACTGGTTGCTGTTGTTGTATGGGGTCAGGCGAGCACAGAGGTGGCTCTGATGTTGCCGTGATAAGAGACAGATGAGAAGCATTCCATGTACGGCCATCCTCTAGGACATACGAATGTGAACCCGCTCTCCGTATAACTCTGGTTGGATCCTGAAACTTGGACAAGCCCTTCTTCACATGAAACGGTTTCAGTACTCTCACCAAGCTGCCTTCCTTGATCTTTGGCACTCTTGCCCCGCGTTTTGCATCTGCGTACTTCTTTGCAGCTTGCTGTTTCTCACTGACCCGGGAGCGTAACTCCTTGTTAGCTTGGGATGTCAGTGATGGTACGGATCCTACATTCACTTTAGTACGCATTTTCCTTCCAAACATCAGTTCGTAAGGCGACAGTCCAGTGGTACTGTGTGGGGTTGCACGGTATGCCAGCAGAAAGTTAGTAACAAAATCCTTCCAGGGTTTCTGTTCCTGCCTCGCTGTGAAGACTGTCTCTTTAAGAATGCGGTTCCAGCGTTCAACAGCTCCATTAGCTTGGGGGTAGTACAAAGACACCTTCCTGTGCACAATGTTCCTCACCAAAAGAAAATCAGCAAATTCCTTTGAGGTGAATTGTGTTCCGTTATCACTTACAATCTCAGTCGGATTCAAAAAATCGAGAGAAGATTGAAGTCAGGAAGGCTGTGACTGCAGCAGTGGTGACAGTTGGCATGAAGGCAACCTCTGGCCATTTGGTGTAGTAGTCAGTTAGAGTTACGGCATATCTACAGTCCCAAGTCGCCATTTCAAATGGGCCGACCACATCAATGCCCACTTTTTGCCAGGGCCCATCAGGTAATGGGACCGGCTGTAGTGGTGCTGGGTACGTCCTTGCAGTTTTATCATGTGATCTGCATGTAGTACATGTACTGATAAAGTCCTCGACGCAACTGTCCATCCCTGGCCACCAGTACAGATCTCTCAGTCTTTGTTTAGTGCGAACCACACCTTGGTGTGTCTCATGTGCCAAGGTAACCAGTTGGTATCGCAGCGCAACTGGAACAATCAACCTGTGGGGCCCTCTGAACACTTTCACATCTTGCACTGACAGTTCATCTCTGACAGCAAAGTAGGCTTTCACCACTGGAGGCAGGGACTTAGCTGTTTTGGGCCAACCCCTTTTTATCTGTGCACGTAAAGCATCTAGTTCTGGACATGCCCCACTTGCTGCATCGAAATCAGACACAGACAGAGCTCGCAAGTCTGTTTCCAGAAGAGCCACCATGTCAGGTTCTGTGATGTCTTTGGCCTTAGCATCTAAAGGTAGAGGCAAGCGTGACAACCCATCTGCCGTATGGTTATGTAAACCTGCCCGATAAATGACATCGTATGAGAAGCATAACAATCTGGCAGACCACCTAGCAATGCGCATACCTGCACGGCCTAAACCTTTAGTGGCCAGCAAGGTGGTAAGCGCCTGATGATCTGTGCGAAGCGTGAACCTGGTACCCCACAGAAATGTTCTCCATTTCTCCACTGCCCAGACACACGCCAGTGCTTCTTTTTCCACAACTGAATACTTCCGCTCAGCCGTGCTTAATGTGGGTGAGGCAAAAGCAACTGTCTTTTCTGTGCCATCCGGATTCACTTGAGTCAAGACGGCTCCCAAACCATAGTCAGACGCATCTGTAGAAACCATTGTAGGCAGGCTGGGGTCAAAGACTGTCAGAGCGGCACTGTTTACAATGCCTGATTTCACCTTTTCAAAGCTCAGCTGAGCAGCCTCAGTCCAATGAAATGTATCATTCCGCAAACATTCCCTCATGGGCTCCACCAAAGTAGCATAGTTGTCCACAAACTTTGCGTACCAGGAGGTGCAGTCCCAGAAATGAACGCAGAGTAGGTGCATCACTAGGCGCCGGGGCATCAGTGATGGCCTTGATGTGTTCCCCATCTGGAAGAAGACCCTGAGCAGAGATTACATGCCCCAGGAACTGTAAGCTGGTCTGGTTAAACTGGCACTTTTCCACATTAAGTTGCAGTCCTGCTTCCTTGAGAGCAGCAAGAACAGCTTGTAAGTTGCAGTCATGGTCCTTTCTGTCTGCACCATAAACAATAATGTCATCCAGATAGTTCTGAACACCTCTGAGACCTTTGAGTACAATGGACATCACTCTGGAGAATGCGGCTGGTGCTGAACATAGACCATATGGAACCCGCTTAAATCTGAACAGTCCCTCGTGTGTTATAAAAGCGGTCATGTCCCGGCTCTCCTCTGCCACTAGTACTTGATGATATGCGTTGGCCAAATCTATCGTGGAAAACACTTTTGCACCTCTCATTTCAGCGAATAGGTCGTCCATATGAGGAAGTGGGTAACTATCCATCACTATTGCCTTATTTGGTTCACGTAAGTCCACACACATCCTCACTGTTCCATTTTTCTTCTGTGTGACCACAATAGGGGACACCCATTGGGATGCTTCTA